TTTATATTTTGTGACCTTCAGAGATATGCACGAGCTACTACTTTCATCCGTCAGGCTACTCCTATTACGAGACTTAACAAAATTCATCACTGAGAACAAAGATTCACAAGCGTATGTGGATGAAACCAAAACACTGGTCGGATCTAGGAAGGCAGGGAGAGTTAAGGCAGAGGCATAGAAATTGCTCTTCCCCTCTCTCGTCAATCCATGTCTATGGTCTTTAAGATAACTTGTTATGTAAAATTATTTATTTATCTAAGATGCACCTACACTGAATTTATCTGAAAAATAAAAAAGTCGATATTAAGAAAAAAATTGTAAATGGGAGATTATAAGAGAGGGTTTCGCGTGCCAGCAAAAGTTACTGGCATGCCATGTTTGGCATGCGTGCCAGGGGTTGCCCACCCATGCTCTAGGTTAATTTAATGGGAAGTGAAGTTGTAAGCAACCTGAATTAAGTGGCAAAAGACAGAAATTCAACTCCAAATGAGTTGGACAAGCATGCAAGTGTATTCACTGGCAGATTTGAAAAGTTCATGATTCAGGCATGGCTGGATCCAGGAGCTCAAACGAAGTCTTTAGACCAGACGTCTCTTCATTTCTTTTGTTGCCCTTCGTATTGATTTGTTTTCCTACTAGCATCCCTGGACTCACATCCTCAGTTTATATCCTAGAAGAAAAAAGTTCTATCTCTTTCCCATTAACTGTGACAAAAGCCAGAGGACACATCCCTTTGGCCTTCCTGGCCCACCCCTGGATCAAGCATTACTGTCCAGAAGGATGGCACACATGGATAGGTGTGGCCCAGGGACACGGACTGGGGAAGGGTGGTTCCCAAAGAAAAATCAGGCACCTGTCCCCAAAAGGCAAATGGTCGTGAGCAAGCAAGAAGAAATGTCGGTGTAATTTATAATGAGGTCATTTTGGTTATTGGGAACCGTGGAAGACAGAATTTTGTATTTTTGTAGTGATTTTCTTTGCTTTTTTCAAGGCCTGCCCCATTGATAGCACCTCCTCATTAGAGCGTTTCTCCTTCCTCCTTCCTCTGTGCCCCAGGCAGGGCCACTGCTGGGTGGTAGTCCGAGATGGGACTTTGATGAGTAGCCTGGAACCTGGGCATTTGCAAAGGCACAGATCAGACGGGGACCCTTTTGGCCTGGCTCCCACAAATGATCTTAACATAGGGCTCCTTTCCCTCACTTGCCTCCATCCCCGGTCAGGTCTTGTTTTTGTTTTAAGGGTAGTAGGAGGGAAACGTTTTAGTAAAACACCCGACATGTGTTCCTGGTGCTGTACTAACAACTGCCAACAGTGGTTTTCACTGCAGCTCCCACATTTTGCTCCCCCGCGGTGGGGTTTAGCAATCCAAGCGCTACCTATTGTCCAGTAGAAAAAGCAGAGTCACAGACATTAATAGAGCCTCCCAGAGCAGAGCCATTCAACAGCAACTCACCGTAACTGAATGGCAACCACTCTGCATTCTAATTTCACTCACCAGGTGATACGTTGGCTTTACAGTTGATAATTTAACTTCCTAGTATTTCCCATAAAAATGTCATCCGGCTCAGTCAACTTTCAAATATGAATTGCAATGAGAAACACTGGAGTGATGAAAAGGAAAGTCATGTTTACCTCTATGTCAGAGATGCAAGGCCCACTTAGAACCTCTTTCTACGTGGACTTAGCATCATGGCTGATGGTCTGGGCTCTGTCGACAGACTGGGTGGGTGCCTTGTGGTTCTCACCACATTCTAGTCATGTGGCAATACCCAGCTCAGTATTTCTCAAACTTCCCATTTTCAAAATGTACCTAATACATGTGGTGGTTGTGACGAACAAATGACATAATACATGTAAAGTGTTTGGCACAGTGCCCGGCACACAGTAAGTGCTCAATAAACGTTGGCTTTGATAACTGCAAAGAAACCACTTTGATACTGTAGTACGTAGTCATATGAGTAGTGATGCCCCCTCCCAGTTGGCATGTGTTCCACGGAGTGGAAAATATTGGCTGCGTGTGCTACTTTCTTCATTTTAATTAATCCGAAGACATTCCTCAAAGAATAATGTGTGCTGTGTCTTGCCTGAGATGAATTTCACTTCCAGCAGCAGCAATATTTCAGCTCCTCTCCCTTCTCTTCTGCATCAAGATGACTTTACACCCAGAAAAGAACTCAATTAGTTTGAGTTAAACAGAATGCAATTGGATCCTGAAATATTATCTTTTTTTTCCCCTTTAAGGGCTTAGAAATAAAGTGTGCCGCCTATTGAAGTGACTTTTGAGTGTTATCTAGTGAACAGAGCAATGTATCCCATGGTTATTATCTTTGAGTTATTAAGGCTAATAAGATGCAAAGGTGAGCGTCCCATCCACAGGTG